AGCACGAAACCTCTTTGCTATTTACCTACGCAACAGACTTTCTACGACAATTTTTGAAAACTCTTGTTCGAAATACAAAATCATGTTAAGCATTTATTATTATGTTAGAATAAGCATCCGTAAAGCGATTTCATGTAATTATGTTAGACGGAAATGTATGTAAGTACGTGGATTACGCCAAATGTCATTTTAATAGTTTTAATTACATATCCAAAGCTAATTGCCGCGCTGATTACTTTGATATCACGTGATAATGGTACGTGGAAGATTTTCCTTATGCAGCAAGAATTGTCTTTTAAAAGCCTACGTATGTATATGTAATTATTGTTGTGTTTGGAAATAACTGTTATTATGAAGTAAGACTTGAGTAGATGCAGTCACTTAGCTAGGGGCGGTCATCGAAGCAGGCTAAAGACTGTTTTCAGCGGATTTATATATGCAGCTCGCCAATTAGGGGAGATCACCATGTTCAATAAACTATAACAGACCTAAATACGCATAACCTTCGATGGTAAAATTGATCCTAAAGAAAGGATTTGTTCTAGTCGTTGGGATACTTCCAGAAAACGCCCAGTAAAGAGCATAATGACTGTATAGGTTGGAAATAAGAACAATAAGATCTTTACTTTTTCCTTAATTTAACGATAATAGGTACTAAAAGTTAGAAAACAATGGATTATATAAAGTTTGGGGGGGGGAGGGGTGTTGGCGACACGATTAGACTCTTACTGCCTTAGTTAGTGGTTTTTAACCACCTCGTTGTTCCTCTTGATCTCGACCTTAGCCTCTCCAGGCCAATGCCGCTGTAAATTATTGCACTTAACCCAGGCAATCGATTATATCCTAATCAGCAATACCTTTAAGAAATCGTACAGAAATAGATTTTGGGGGATTCTTACAATAACTTTCTTTTAGAGGAATTACCTATCTAAATAATTAAAAAAAAATGGTAAATTTTACAACATCTTTTAAAATAGAAGTAGGTGTGGTCACGGCTCGGTCAAGGCAGTTTCTATCAATTATTATTGCAACGTTATTAATGAATTCCTCTTCACAGTGCGTGGGTGTTGGGAGAATTATAGGTACATACATGATATATTTAGTTTAAGACCTCAACGAAGTAGTGTTGTTTGTTATTAAGGACGCTTGTCTCTTCTTCAACTTGGAATTGGCTGTTTATACTAAGTCCACGAGGCTTAGAGAGTTGAGAAGTTTTTTGGAAGGATTTTAAATATTGATATATTTTATATCGTGGAGACCTGTGGTGGAGACTAAGGCGCCACCTTCTGTTTTACGAGTCTGTTCATACAAAACTTGGCAAGTACTGTAACTGAAGACTGAAGATTTATCTGTGAGTTATATGATGATTGACCCCCGGTTTCTCATCTCTAATGCCTGGTTTCCGAAAGCCCGATCAATGTTAAAATCAACTAACTAGGTGTCAAATCTCTTGTCAACTCATTTAATTGGTTGTTGATAATTCAATTAACCAATCAGATGACTTGACAAGAGATTAAATTGATTTTAACATTGATCGGCCTTTCGGAAACCGGGTGTAAATCTTCATTTGTCATTTGAGTCTAACACTCGGTTTCTGAAAGGCTTGTCAACGCTGTCATCTAATTGGTTGACTGAATTATCAACAACCAATCAGATGACTTGACAAGAGATTTAACAGGATATTAGTTAATTTTAGCGTTGACAAGCCTTTTAGAAACCGGGTGTTAAACTCAAATGACAAATGAAGATTTTTGTGTGATTTATATGTTGATATAACTCACAAAAAAATCTCTCTCCGATGACAAACGCTGATAGAAAACATCATGAGAGTAGCTGAACTTATAACTTTTAATTAATTAGTTTCTAAGTTCTTATAGTTTGAAACCGCTAATACGTTTTGAATAAATGTGGTGCTTAATGATCAAGTCTTAAATATTTGCAATTTCAAATGATCGGGTGGAAATAATTATCTTGTTGGTCACTTGGGAGAAACATCGAAACTGTATTATATATTTTCCAGTGTTTTACCAGTTAAGTAGCACATAGTATAATTTTACTAAATCTTTCATTTTCAAATAGAAAAGTTAGAGTGTACATGTACAACTTTACACCTGATTTTTAACAGTTAGTTTTAGAGCCACGCTTCGATACGAATGAGCTTCGTCGAACGGAGTTGCATAAAATCATCATCAACCTCATCAGCCTGTAAGTTAACGAAGAAGGTTTGAGCATTAATCACCATGTTTGCTCAAGGCGGATTATCGATGTCAAACTTATAAATAAATAGGTATGCCCAGAGCGTCTAAATAATCTTAGAAAGTACGTATAACTAGAAAAAGGTCACTTTTACAGCCGTCGCCTTTACTTTGGCAGTGATACCACGGCCTCACAGAAAACCGGCGTGAAACAACCACAGCATTGTGTTTCGCCATTTGAGTGAGGTTACCGGAGGCCCAATCCCTCCCCATCCCCTATCCCTTCCCAATCCTTAAATATCCTAAACCTTTATGCCTAAAAGGCCGGCAACGCACTCGACAACAACTCTTTTGATGTTGCGGGTGTCCATGGGCGGCTCTGATTGCTTACCATCAGGTAATCCGTCAGCTCGTTTGCTCGTTTGTATTTATAAGTTCCATGTAAGATATTAATAATTCAGTTTATTACACTAACCAGGTTATTTCTTCGTAAATAGAAACGAGTACTGAAAAACTTCAGTATTTTCCCGTGGAAATGAGGAATACACTGTATTTCAATTCACCATGTTATCGAGTTCATTGGATTTAACAAAAGAACATTAATTTTATAGTCCTGACTTTTCTTGATTTAAGAGTCTCAATTAGCTACTCAATGCAATGAGAATTATGGGGTGGGACGAAAAAATCAATTGAAATATCGAGTTAGTTGGTGTGTGATAAATTGGGAGACAATAAGCTATCTATTCTAGTTGTCAGCCATTAAAAATATTTACATAGCTTCTTGGATAGTTTTTTCTGATGAGAAAACATTCTCGGATGTAGAAGAAAATCTAGTTCTAACTACTGCAGAAATAATTCTTGAAATAATTGTGTTATGTACATATGTATTTTATTCGGGTGGTTATTGAGAAAGATTTAAGCAGATTATGGTAGTAGCATTTCTTTTTGTAAAGTGAAACCTTAACATTTTTAACTGTGATTTTCAATCTGTCTAACTTACGTATAGATTGTTGATGTTGTTGTTGTTTTTAAAAACGTTGCCCCACATTAGGATTTTCGCCTGTGTCATGGGTGTGGTTACAAACATACAATTTCACTTACACATGACACCCAGACCCGGAACAACAATTTGTTGATCACACAAAGAGTTGTTCCGTGCGGGAATCGAACCCGCGACACGTTGCACGGCAGCCGGTTGTCCAGCCACCGCACCAACTGTGCAGTCAAACCTTATTAGATTACAACAAACCTTATTTTGTACAGTCAAGTCAAAAGTCAAAAATCCTCCAAACCATTATAGGCACTTTTGAGCGTCTAAAGTGTCAGTCTGTCGGTCTGTTGGGCTGGTAGTTGTACAGGAACCTCCTGTACTACTACTATAGCCCAGCACAGAGAATAGATTACCTACTAAGGCCCCTTCTCACCCATGAGCTTTAATTACCACGTTTGCTTGACTTGGCTTTACCTGTAGTGTATACAAAATTTCTAGTTTAGGTTTCCTCATCTTAAATCCAGGTTTCCTCACAATGTTATCCATCACCGTATGTCTGGTTTATAAATACATTAGGCGTTAAAGGCGTTTAAAAAAGTTTTGGTTCTTGTCAGGTTTCGAACCTTCATGTAGAAGAAGCAGGCGGTTTAGCCTCTTTATTATTTACAAGTTTACGCCCCGACTTCGCATGCGTCGGTGCAATGCTGATGCTAAATACATATAAACCTTCTTCTTCAATCATTCTATCTTTAAAAAAATCGTTTCTATATCCTTTGCGTACACTTTAAAGATTAAAGATATGTATAAGGATATAGGAACAGAAAAAGCGACTTTGTGTTATGAAAAGTAATGCCAAAAGGTAAAAATTTTATTTGCAACATTTTTCAAAAATTAATACAAAAGTAATATACCCAAGTCTTAAAATAATAATAAAAAATCATAAAATATTGAATACTGACATTTTGAAAGAAAACTAGTGCTGTGGGTAGTAGATAGTTTCATTACTATTCGATTTTAATTAGGTACAAAATATACAGTAGCAGAAATTAAAACTAAGGAACAAAAATGATCAAAGTTAATTTACTATCCTTATTAAATTGTAAAATAGACTACAAGAAACTTTTGATAATTTAATAATAAAAAATTGAGGAAAATGTCGTGGTAGTATTGGTAGGTACATTTAAACTAGAATGTGGAATCTGTCTAACCTTTTTTCTCATTAAAAATGTCATGGGGATCATCGCTTAAATTAAAACTACGCCTAATCACTGTCCTGTTAAATTTTAGCCTTAGTCAATGAGGTCATATCTGAAATACAAATCTGACTCTTTCATGATTTTAAATTTCCTAATTAAATTGGTTAAGTTATGATATTGTTTTAATCCCATAAACTGAGATTAATCAACATTTTAAAACTAAATAGCTTTAACATGTTTTATGATCATGCCCATAAAATTTATATCGCAGAAGAGAGAATTCATTTGACTGCCAAAGTTGTTCCTTTAACTAAGTTGCAGCTAGTTGCAATACCAATAGAGCTCGGTTTATAGTCTTACGTGCAATTTGCTCAAAGATGCCGACACTCGCAGATAAATAGTACTCCCAGCTATATAAAGTTTTCATAGCTTCTAATTGGATACCCAATATGGCGTGCGGGGATGAAGCTATCATTAAGCTCAAAAAATAACTTATAACACTCAAAATGGTAATATGTATGCCTGAATCAGGACTATTGGTAATTACCAGATTCTAGACCACAACCAGTAAGCAATGCCTAAATAAATCTAAATTATATTTGTACCAATCATTAAGAAATGCCAAGATTAAATCCTGACAACTCCTATTTATCAGAGACGTGTAAGTACTAAGTTAAACTAACTTCACGGGCTTCACTTAGGTTCTGTAATGGGTACAAAGTAATCTTTCTCTAAGCCCAAATCACCCATTACGTCGCAGCATACTTAATTACAACGCTAGTGGGCCACAGTTAGGCTTTTGACACGGCAGACAAACGCATATATCGTGACTTCGGCCAGTAAAGTCAGTTTGTTGATAAAGTCAATTAGTGGTATCGAAGTAGGGACCCGTATCAAGTGATTCAGCCCACCGTCGCGGCGGCGGTGATATCAGCGCGCCGCCATTGGCCGGGCGTGCCCAAGGGGAGTGGTCTGGGCTCGCTTCTTTTTTGTTACACTTTTTCGAGCGGTGCGTAGGCGACCGTAGCCGGCTTTATTCTCTACCAGTCGATTGAAGGCGTTGGTGTGTTATAGTTTATTGCTCTGTTGTCGTTTTAGACGTCACGGGGTATCATGTAAATTGTGGCCTTTATTGACGGCAATTTATTCGTGTTCACTATCTTTCGTCTCGTGCTTAATAAGGACTTTATTTCGGAGTTCATTGGTGTGAATTGAGTGTGGTAAGTGTTTTATATTATTATTTTGTTGCACGCGTTTAATTAACTTTTTATGTGAAACATTGGAACCGTTATTGGCATGCCTTTATAAAATAAACTTGTAGTTTCTTTTCTATGTATTTTAATGCTCAAAGTCTCTAAGTATCACTAACCGTAAAAATATTATTATTTTATATAAAGTTTGCAATTTAGTAAAAATTACCAATTATCATACATATTATTTTTTTCTTAAAACTACTTATATAATAACCATTGTATAAGATTTTATATTATAGGGATTTATTTAAAAAAAATCCGTTTAAAAATATTTCTTTATTTACGTTGACTTAAATAAAACAGAACGCATATATTTTTAATGTTAATCAAATTATAAACAATATTCGTAAATACTAAATTCTTTCCATTTGCTTTTTTGCTTCGTAAAGTAATCACTATTTTTTATTCAAAAGTAGGATCATAAATGTTTTTTTTAACAACTCAACTTTGGATAGAGCTGGAGTTACTTAAATATGATTAATTATAATATCCACATGGCGCTTCCCATCTTCCTAATTATGCGTTACAACGAACTATTAAAATAATGACATTACTCCAGCAAGTAGGACTGGTTAACATTAATCAAAGCCCACCAGAAATTTTGACGGTCTCGCATCATATTTTTTGGAAGTCAAAAAAGGCATAATACCTGATATTTTAAAGGCATTTGCATAATTAGGTGAATTTTATTGCTTTATTGAATTAGGGCCGATGTCAGGTTCAAAATTGAAATCAGCGGGGGTCCCTGTGTTGTTAATTTTGTTTATAGGTTGTATTATGGTCAGCTTTGAATGTTATTCCAATATTTCAAGCTCTATAAAAGTTGTTAGATATTGTAAAGATGGACAACAATAGCGTATTTATGTTATTGATCTTGATTTTATTAGCCTCGACGCCGGAATGTGTGGGTTATTTCATATTTTTTATATCATCTCATGCAGTGCCATCCGTTTTATTACTGTCATGTTTGTGGCCAAATGTGTCGTGATCATAATTTGTCTAATTTACATCTATGTTAATTATAAAACCATAAAATCTATGTTAAATTTCATTTAAAACTGCAATAAAAATGTTTGTTATTATAATTTTACCGACGGCAACGACGACGGGTGGTTGGTGTGTTCGTAAATTTATTTTAGATTATGTTTTTAACTTATTTATATCATATTCGTAACTCAAAATAGCTAGAACAAGTAAAATTATAATGTGAAAAGAACGTGAAAATAATTTAAATTTTGTGTCATATTTTACTCATAAATAATTAAAATGACTTTCACATTTAGTAATGTAAAAAAGTTTACCCACGATATTCTTTTTTTAATTTATTTTTCTACATTTAAAGTGAAATTATCACGGAACTTTGTAATAATAATTACATTTTCTATAAGTTTATAATGTTTTAAAGTGTATATAGTTAATTACATTTTCTCCGTAGTCACATTTCTTGTACCAGAAATGATTTGTAGCTCGCATTCAGACGTTAGATATCTTTATTACCCTTTCAACTGATCTCATGTCTACATTGCCACAATGTTCACTAAATTGAGTTCTCACATCACAATAGACTTTGGAAAGAGTGATTTTAACCGATTTTTTACTAAAGGGTTGGCCGATCTCAATTTGATTAACATCACCAGTTTCATAGACCCGCATAGCTACCCGGGACGACGAACGATTGTACTAAAAGATGAGGGTCACGATTGAAGGTCAGAGATCTTCAAAGACTAGACGATACGAAACCTTCGTGATGACTTGCGGATGCCTCCGGAACGCGAGCAGCATTGTTGATTGTATTAGACTTAATTAGATCTTAATTAACATTCTGGTTTCTCATTACACGCTACTCGATGCTACTAGCCGCGTTTGTAATAGGAATGTCCATTTACATCCATACCGCTTGTATCTTGATTATTTTTTTAATGTTCGTAATATTAAAATTGAAGATTCTCTGTTGTTCGTTATGGGGTGATGAAATTGAATCGGATGTTATTCAGATTGTGATTACGATAAATAATATTAGCTTTGTGAATGTTATTAGGTGCGCCGAACACTTTTTCTGTTCTTCGATAAAACAAATTATACAGAAATGCACGCTTACATATAATGATAAAGAAGCGACGAATGAAAAAAAATGCTGCAAAAACAATTAATGCCAAAGAACAAAGGGTTAATTAAATTCATCAAATAAAAATAGTAGGGGAAGGAAACAATGCAATTATAAATGTTATTGTCGTGTTATTTAAGTTTTCACGTTAATACACGTGGTTGGAATTTGACGTTGAAAATGTAGCATTAGAGTGGTAATGTCAGGTAGCAGACAGACATCAGTCAGGGGCCGCATGAGTCAGACACTTGCAGCTCTTATCTGAAGCTCAGCGATATAATCCGAGGCACCATTAACACTTAACCAGACCTAATGGACAAAAACGTTTAATCCCTCAATCCTTAGAGCTAACGATAAACTGCAGAGAGGAGATTCCGAACTTTGGACAAATATTTATTTTGTTTACCTATGGCGCTTTGGAAATAACACAAAGACCGGAGTAATTTCTCTTGGCCTTAAAGTCCATAATCACTTCATGAATTTTAATTCACTTGTTAAAAGGTGAACTGAATGGCGGACGGAATTTTTCAATTATTCAACGTTTTTTCAATACGTTTTTAAAAATAGTTCGTAGGGTGCTTAGCTAGATAATGTTCCTAACAATGGCTTAAACAGTTGATTACAATTTTATTTTTATCGCGCTTGTTACGGAAGAGATACTAAAAAAACTTAATCCTGCAGGCGCCTCTCCGTTTCTATCGCTTTTAATCCTATTATATTATAATTCCTTCACTGTACCCCTGTGTTAAGGAAATGTTATCTTATCTTAATATATTAAAGCTCCATAATAGCTTATCAGTGGATCAACGCAACTGTATTGTTTTTCATTGTATTTTTTTTATCGTGTCTATTATTTTCAGCGGACACTTTTTTCGGAGTTCGAGCAGGATACAATGTAATTTTTGTAATTGAATTAATAAGTGGGCGCCTCGTAGAGGATTTCATGAATTTCTGGGTTTCAAATGCTTTGACAGTTTCTACTATTTACCGATATCAAGTTTTGTATTTTATTATTATGTAGTGTGAGTCACGTATCCCTTTTATTTTTATGTAGGGCAACTATTGATATTTAATTTCAATCACGCAATGGGTATATAATCATAAATTATATGATCATAATAAGCATAAATTAATACAGATACGTGTAGTTGTTGAAAAATAGCATGTAAGGTCAAGTAAGTTGTAAACTGTATGAATACTGAATACAGAATCAAAGAAATTATTAGTCGCTGGTAAGTAGTCTGATATTTGATTAACCTTCATCATCACATTATTAAAATTTAATTATTTTTGATAATAAGTGATATATATTAACCTATACCTAATGGTGATAAAGAAAAAACCACGCGACTTTCTTGAATCATCTTTATGTTTAAACTAGCGGCCCGCCCCCGCTTCCCGCTTTCCTAATCATCCCTTCTTCTTTTCTAATATTTTCTTAGATAAGAACCTTCTCCTCACAATAACAAACACAACAAAAAAGAATATGCAAAATTGGTCCAGGCGTTGTTGAGTTATGCGCTTACCAACACATTTTGCGATCCATTTTTATATATAAGAAGATTATATTGACGATTTATTCTTTAGAATTATATTTTTTTAGTTCAACGATCTTCAATTATTTCTTTACACTTAAAGTTATTTAGAGTTAGTTTTCACGTGTCTAGTTCTTTTGAGTTACTGCGTCTCATTAATTATTAATTGTCTTATAAATAGAAATTCAAAACAGTACTTCGTTGTAACGAGTAATGTTTATATTACAGTAAGTAATACCTATGTAAAAGTTTTGATAAATTATTCATCACTAATTCACACCACACTTTTACTTTATATGGTTACAATGTAAATCAAATTATAGCTCTTTTGCTATATGTAAGTACTTATAACTTGATGTTGTTGTTTGAAATTTAATTTATGTTCTTATAGACGGGGTCTGGAATTATATTACTATGAGTATGTGATTCAATTATGACAATACCCAGTAACATTAGGCCATTAGTGATGATACACCCGCAGCTCTATTTGATCGTAGCGTGATGTTTCATAGCCTATAGCACTCAGGAACATTGTAACTATCTATCAGTGAAAGAGTTTTGGCAATCCGACCAGCGGTTCTAAAGATTACCCCCTACATACAAACTTACAAATTATACCTCTTTATAATATTAGTACAGATAAACACGCTGCTAAATAAAAAAAAAATTCTGGTCCCATTTTTTTGTTACGTTTACATTGCCTTGTGGTACGCCTTATGTCTACTCAAAATGAGTTTAGATGTTAAATAATGTATTCAAGATTATTCTT